TCCGTAGCTTTAGCAGCAGAGAGAGAGGCAGTGCCACTTTGTCGCTGTTCCTAATGCCTAGTGACAAAGCTAGCTACATTTCTGAGGACCCTTAGCTACTTTCTGTAGAACTTTCTTCTAGATATTTCCTGCAAATTAGCAACAAAATAGCCATTTTCGCTCCGAACCGTTCTTTGGTTTGACGTTGTTTCAGCTGTCATCAAGGATATAAATGTTACAGATACAAAAGACATCACTGGTGCTTTAGCTCACCTTGTAAGATGTTGGACTCCTATGCAGAAGACCTGGGTTCAATTCTGGATGTGAACATAATTTATTTAGAGTTTCTTTTTTACATTAATGGTATTTTATTTTACAGCAAGATGCCCAGATTTGTATTTGAGACTCGCCGAATGGCATTGAATTCACAGATAAAAAAGATGTGGGTTCAACTTTCATTTTGGAACAATTTTTCAAGCAAGGGAAGGGAATGATCTGAGAATGCAGGAGGACTGACCCATCTTAAACCTTTGTCGGCTGTGCTGAAGAGAAAGCTACAGAACCAAATTATTTAATTAATTAGCTGCACGTTCTCCTGTCCTCTGTCCTCCATACACTAACCATACCATACCATACCATACCATACCATACCATACCAGAGACTTTTTAACACGAACAAATTTTGTCCCCCATTCCCCTCCACCTCTTCATGCGATCGGCACCTTGTAAACTCACTTTTCTTGTCTTTTCCGTCCATGAATATAACACTTACAGCATATCTTTGTACTCCTTCAGTCACGGGTGAATAAATGTTCATATTTTCAGTCTTTTTCCGTGATGCGTTCTTCATTATGTTCCATATCTGCTGCTAAATCTCTCTATTTTTTAAAGCGGCAAACACAGTGCTGGTGACAAATGAAATCAGGAAGCAGCGTCCTGACCAAGTAAAAGCTCGTGGTCTCCATCTCTTTCGATGGATAGTAAAATTTGGGGGAATGTCTCCGTTTTCCTCCGCAAGCCCATCAGAGGACTCTTGCGTCGACGCATAATGATGTTGCGTGTCTGTTCCGACGCAGACGGAGAAGTAGACATTAGCTTAGAATCCTTCCAGCGTACCCTCACTCTCAGTAAACAAAAACATCAGATCCTCAACAATTTTAGTGGGCGGGGACTCGACTGGTGAGGGGAGGTTCTTTGCCAATTTCCCTTATTGTGACATCACAAATTGGGACTTAATGAAAATTTCGACAATTACCTAAAACCAACGACTGACAGAAAACAGATGGTTCTTATTGACATATTTACAGAGTTAGTGAAGACCGTTGGTTACGTATTGTAACCCCAGATTCTATGAGTCTAGTCGCAGCCCTTAAGCGAGCTGCTATTGGAAGGGTGATCTCAGCATCAGCCAATCATGAAGAGCTTAAATGTACGCCCACCACGTGGGCACCCCTTGTGGGTTATATAAGTGGAGCGACTCCACTGTTCGCCTCCGATGGCTCTTAGTCCTCTAACAGAACCAGTGTGGCCAAGTGGCTTAAGGGCTGCGACTAGACTCATAGAATCTGGGGTTACAATACGTAACCAACGTTCTATTTCGTCTAGTCTTAGCCCTTAAGCGAGCTGCTATTGGAATAAAGCGCAGCTGGATGGGTTTACGCCACACTGGTTAACACAACCAATGGACACACCCAACATGTCTCCTTTTAGTGGGGGTCGCTCAGCCTCAGCCCAGGGCTTAAAAGGCTGAGGCAGCCAGAGAGAAGAGTGGGGCCACCACTAAAAAATATCATCCACAAGAGGAAGAAATTCATTCAAGCAGGGCCGATGAGGTGCCATAATGCGTTCACTCAGCCTGCTGAGGTCCAAGCACTGAACGAGTGATGGATCCTGAAGACACATCTCGTAAATAAGAACGAGTAAAGAAACAGGGTGAAGCCCATGAAGCAGCCTGACAAATGACTTCCATTGACCCACCACTGTGGGGCGCCACAGAAGAGGAAATCCCTCTGGCTGAGTGAGCCCTGAGTGTCTCAGGAGGATCCAGCCCCAATGATGTGTAAGCGAGTGAACTGGCGTCACATAGCCAGAGTCAAAGGCGCTGGGCCAACAGCGCTTGCCCAAGGGAAGACTCCCTGTAGTGCACAAACATGATTTGTGAGCGGCGAATCCCTGAAGTGCGTGACACATATCGTGCGAGCGCGCGCACTGGGCAGAGAAGATGGGAAGCCGCCTTCTCCTCAGAATTATGGGGAGGAGGAAAAAGTCCAGCCAATGAAATTGACCTGGATTTGAAGGAAGTATTAATGTTTTTTGGGCACAAAGGCTGGGGCATAAAACAGCAGACCCGCCATCTTTCCGGATCCTGAGGCATGCGGGAGCCACTGGGAGGGCGGTTTGGTCGCTCACTCTCGTGACTGATGCCAGTGCCAGCAGCAAGGCAGTTGTAAGTGACAGGAACTTGAGTGAGACCTGGTCCAAGGGCTCAAATGGGGCTTCAGATAAGCCACGCAGAACCACCGTTAGATCCCACTGGGGAATTAGCGGACGGGACACAGGTCTGTTCCTTCTGACACCTTTTAGAAAACGTTTTGTGAGGGGATGATTGAAAACAGATCTATAACCAAAACCCTGGTGACAGGATGAGATAGCTGCAGCATATGTTTTAATAGTGCTGAATACGAGGCCCCTGTCCGTCCGTATCTGCAGAAACGATAGGACATCCGCCAGCTGGCAGGAGAGCGCTTGAACATTCCGCTCTGTGCCCCAGTTCTGGAAAGCTGCCCATTTAGCAGCGTAAGATGCAATGGTAGAGGGCGCCCGCGCACTCTGAATCGTGATGACCACATCATGCGGCAGCCCAGAAACCCCTAATCGAAACCGCTCATCGGCCAGACCCACAGCCGATGGCTTATTTCCGGAGGATGTCTGATTATCCCATCCGCCCGGGGAGGGGCGTCCTCCCTTCGCGGGAGTCTCCACGGGGAGCCGGACAGTAGAGCTTGCTGGTCCGGAAGCCATGACGCGGACAAGCGCCACCAGAATTACCGAGAGCTGTTCTGACCGAACTCGGTCCAGGAGACGGGGAATCAGAGGGACTGGTGGGAACGCATAAAGGAGCGTTCGAAGCCCGGGCTGGTGTGAGAAGGCGTCCGCTCCGAGCGAGGTTTGGTCCCGGAGACTCAGGGAAAACCACAGGCGACACTGAGCGTTTTCGCGAGCCGTGAACAGATCCACACGGTTCCCCGAACCTTATCCAAATCTGTGATATCAGCGCGGGATGCAGACGCCAGTCGGAGTCGCGGGGACCCCCTCTCGACAGGATGTCTGCCGCCACATTCAGGATCCCCGGAATGTAGGTGGCACAGCAGGTGGACATGTGCCCAACACAGTAAACCTGTGGCTATGCGCAATAGAGGGGGGGGGGGATCGAACTCCCCATTGGCGATTTATGCAGGCTGCCGCCACCTGGTTGTCTGTGTGAACTTCGACATGACGGCCATCGAGAAGGGCAGCGAAGTGCATGAACACATTCCTCATTGTCATAAGCTCCAACACATTTATGTGCTCGTGCGTGTGGGAGGGCCAGCGATCTGCCGCGTAACAAGCACGTGCCCTCCACCCCAGACAGTGACGCATCCATAAACACAGATACGTGTGACGCAGGACGTCCGATGGGAATCCCGTGTGAGGGGATGCAGGGATTCCCCCAGTGAGCGAGGTCCCCGCCCACTGAGGGGGGAACCCTCAACATACATCTCTTCTGACGTATCGGGTGTACCCGGAGGCAGATGAACCAACTTTGCAGGCGCCTCGAGCGCAACAACCCCAGCAGCACCACCGAGTGGGCTGCAGCCATCATGCCCAGAAGTCTCATGACTAACAGGGCTCTCACGATCTTGCGGGGTTGCACGCGGGAGATCACCGTGGTGAGATCTGCCGCTCTCACCGGCGACGAACGTGCTCTCATTATAGAGGCGTTCAGCTCCCCCCCGAGAAACATAATCGACTGGGATGGAAGAACAGAGTTCTTCCCCCAGTTTATAGAAAACCCCAGGGTTGACAGATGCTCTGTTAACCTCCTGGTTTGCACTGACGCCCCGTCCTCGGACCGGGCGCATCGGAGCAGATCGTCCCGGTAAAATAAAACCCTCGTTTCCGCCGTGCGCAGTGGCTGCAGCGCGGTCTCCGGACATTTGGAGAAAGTGCGCTGGGCTAGCGAGTAGCCGAAAGGGAGGCATTCGTGCGCGCGTTCCGACAGCGGACGTGTGCTCGAGGTCACGTGAGCAACGTCTGAGGATTGGTTTCGCGCCCTTACCGCCGTCGCTCGTACCAGAGAACTGGGAGCGACCCATGGAGGGCTGTGATCGAAAAAGCAAGTGTGAAACAGCTGGAAGAGGCTGATCCGCACCGCAGAGCGTGGAGTCCATGAAGGACGAGTGGGAGCCGGGCTCGTGCACGGGAACGTCAAAGTGCCAGCGGATGGAGCCGCGCAATGTGCGCGCTTTGCGCGTGGTCGCGACAGCGCCATGACATCCCGTCCCACCCAAAGTTGTGGGGGAAGCGGGATGAGTCGGGCCTGGCCGTAGGCTGGGGGCGGTGCGCAAATGGAGCGCACCCTTACAGCTACCCGTGTAACGTGACCGAGTCCGACTGTGTGAACATGCAGATGTGCTGCAGTGCTTGGTGCGGGGAACATCATGTGTGAGGATTCGGCAGAAGGTTCTGCAGAGGACTGTAGGATTCTGCTCTCGATGTGACGTTTTTTGGGTTTTTATTTCAAAACCAAAATAATTCACAGAGTTAACATTGCAGCCATAAGCACACATATTCCCCCCAACGAGTCGTTTTCGTGGTTGTTTTCGGCGAGGTTCCTGTGACTGCCAAGGCTGTGTCTGCTGGCTCGTTCGGAACCGTTGGCCGCCAACTCCCTGGTCCCGCCTCAGCGGGAGGCCGGCTCCGCGGGGCGGGCCGTGCAGCTGGGCGCATGGAGTTTCCGCGCCGTTTGTCCCATACTCTGGGGGAACGGCCGGAGTGCAGGCTGACCGAGAGTGGACCAGGTCTCGCACCGTGGCTGAAAGTTCAGCTGCTGAGCCCTCTAGATGATGCTCGTAAGATGGGAACCAAACAGAGCGTCAGAGGTGATGTGGCCTTCCAGCATCTCTCTGTGCAGGTGTTCAGGAATGGAGGGCAGGGCCATGAGCCACAAGGCCGCTGGATAAGGGTCTGCCAGGCAGCAATGCGAGCAGAACCGGTGAGTACAGCAGCGCAGATTGAGGATGGCATCAGCAGTTTTAGTAATGATGGTTTTTGACTTGACAGGAGAGTCAAGCTCCTCCACCATTTTGGAAACGCCAAAGGCGAGAAGGCGATGTTATTTCCTGCAGCGCCGGTCTGGAAGGCGCACTGGTGTGCGCGATCGGCGAGCCGCCTCAGCAGCTGGTCATGCTTAGTGGGAACTGCTCGCGGTCCAGTGAGGTGGTTCTTGACGCCACACAGCGAGGCCAAGTCCGGCTCCAGTGGAGGAACGGATGGCCAGCCCTGGTCGGAGAAGCCCTCGACCTTGGTAATGGGCGCATATGTGGAAATTGGCGCCTCGAGCCTGGCAGGCTCGGAGAAGGCGGCGGACCAGCAGCTCATGGCAGCGGGGAAGTGCGGCCAGACGGGGTCTGGACAGCGCGTCTGTGTTGCCCCAAAAATTCCCACCAATTCATCCGCCTCAGGGGAGCCGGTTCTGGAACGGCTAGCCACCTGCGGGTCGCAGCCGCGGAGATGATGGCGGGCAGCTCCTGGAGCAGTGCTCTAACTGCTGGCAGGGAGGAGCGAGAAACCACTGGGGCAGAAGGACCCGCTGAGCGAGGCTCGTCGACCTCCGTGTTGTACAGGAGGGAATAATGGCTGCAGCAGCCAGCCTCGTCGTGCTCCTCACGAGGCTCGTCGACCTTCGTGCTGTACAGGAGGGAATAATGGCTGCAGCAGCCAGCCTCGTCGTGCTCCTCACGAGGCTCGTCGACCTCCGTGTTGTACTGGAGGGAAAAAGGGCTATGGCAGCCAGCCTCGTAGTCGACCTCCGTGTTGTACAGGAGGGAAGGGCTATGGAAGCCAGCTTCGTCGTACTCCTCGCTGTCGATGACATCGTCCAATCGGTAGGAGCCAGCTGGCTCCTGGCCGACGTTGAAGAACCGTAACGCCTTGTCCAGCGAGTATGTGCCAGCCACCGGAATTTCCTCGTCAGTGGAGGGGGTGAAGTACTCGACCCGGCGGACCTTTTCATCCACGGGCAGAGCGGTACAAAACGGGCACGAGGCCTGAGGGTCAAGGCCAGGCCAGCGTGGTGAGCCCCGAGACAGACCTCACACTTGGCTCACTTGGCGTGCAGGTCGCCGCTGGAGATGGAGCCCGTCTGGCAGGCCGGGCAGGTCCTGGCGTCGCTGGACATGGTCGGTGAGTAGATTTTTCTTGTATAATTGCTCTTAAAAGAAGCTCTTAAGCTTGGCGTGAAGAGAAAACGGAGGCGAACAGTGGAGTCGCTCCACTTATATAACCCACAAGGGGTGCCCACGTGGTGGGCGTACATTTAAGCTCTTCATGATTGGCTGATGCTGAGATCACCCTTCCAATAGCAGCTCGCTTAAGGGCTAAGACTAGACGAAATAGAACTACATGATGCTCAAAGTCAGATTTGTGAAATATTTTTCCTTCAAACCTGAGATATAAAGTCACCATAATTCTTTTTCTCAAGGCATTATGGGTAACGGAGGTCTTTATATTATCGATTGTAAAGTTTTTTTGGGGAAAATATTAAACTTGACAAGTCATATTTTTCTAGAAAATGTTGATGCCTTATCCATCCATCCATCCATCCATCCATCCATCCATCCATCCATCCATCCATCCATCCATCCATCCATCCATCCATCCATCCATCCATCCATCCATCCATCCATCCATCCATCCATCCATCCATCCATCCATCCATCCATCCATCCATCCATCCATCCATCCATCCATCCATTTTCAGCCGCTTATCCGGAGTTGGGTCGTGGGGGAAGCAGCCTAAGTCGAGACGCCCAGAATTCCCTCTCTCCAGCTACTTGGGTCAGCTCTTCCCAAGGCGTTCCCTGGCCAGCCGAGGACATAGTCCCTCCAGCGTGTCCTGGGACTCCTCCCAGTTGGACGTGCCCAGAAAACCTCACCGGGGAGGCATCCAGGAGGCATCCTGACCAGATGCCTGAGCCACATCAATTGGCTCCTCTCGACATTGATGCTTAGTTTTGTTTTAATTGTTTTTTTGCAACATATTACCATTTTCTCAATTATTTTGGGAGCATTATTGTAAAAGACAATAGCAAGAAAACATTCCTCTTCACTTTATATCTTTGAGATGCATAACACTCACGATCCATTTGAATGGAGGACATAAACAGGCCAAGACCTGCTAAAAAATCCAGTTTCTCTCATCTTTTCCACAGATTTACTGATCTTGGGGCTAAAACAACAGCCATTAGATTTGCAGTGATGTGAGGAAAATGCATCAGGCGGGAAAGCCACTCGACCGTGGGCACCGTTCAGTATGCACTTCCAGCTGACAGGCTGATGAGCTGCAATCAGCCCTCCTACTCTGACTGGGTCATGCTGTGGTAATCATCGGTGACTTATTTTGGAGGATTCCTCAGACTGGGCCACGCTCAGCTAAAAACGAGACTGTTGGTTGTTGGTTTTTTTTGTGTTAAAATATTTATGAGTTGTGTTGGAAAGGTTAAAAATGTAGAGATCAGTGTGTGAGCAGCTCTTGACATTAAGTAATAATCAACACACAGGTACAGGTACTCCATAAAGGTCAACATGCACGGTTGGGTGTAATAGCTTCAAACGTATATCTAAGAGAAAATAGCTGATATCCTGCTGTTTGGATTCATCTGAAGAATTAGACTCATTGAAACTAAATAACATGTCTCTTCTCTAATTCTCTGAAAAGCTGTCATCTCCTCTTATTTTAGTAATCGTCAAACAACACGTCCTGTTTCCTTGTTCCCATTGACACATCCTAACCTGAGCGCTTCACAGTTAATTTTCCTCCCGAGTTCTGTTCCCCGTGTAGCTCTGATTAAATTCTAATCTCCTTTTTTCATCAGTGTTTTTTAAATAATAGCTGAAGGCTTATCTAGTGAAAATTGGCTGAAATTGTTGTAAATGACTTCCCGATGAGAAACTGCTTTTATCTGAGGAGCGCTGCACACACAGACCTCTGCAGAGATATGGATGAGCTGTCCAGGGATGGCCCGGGGAAACGCTAAAAGCTCTAAAAGCTCAAATTTAGCTACTGAAAACACCTTTCAAACGTATTTTTCTGTCATTTTCTCCAAATATTTTGATGGCTTGTTATATAGAAAGAAAAATAAGACTTCGCTCAAGATTTGTGTTCCTCGTGAACTTACAGGGACATTATGGAAGTTTGACAGCCAAATCATGTAGAGAAATAATAAATGTCTTCTTCATACATTCTCCTGCAATGCCCTGGTCCTGTAGAATGAGCCCTGGCATTTTTACTGTGATTGCCTGTTTTTCTGTAAAATCACAGAAAAAGAGAGATGCTCGGGTCGAGCAGGCTGCTTCATGCGCGTTCACGCTCAGGCATAGCCCGTAGCATTTGCTATCCGTAGCTTTAGCAGCAGAGAGTGAGGCAGTGCCAACTCGGCGACTTTGTCGCTGTTCCTAACGCCTAGTGATGAACCTAGCTACATTTCTGAGGACCCTTAGCTACTTTCTGTAGAACTTTCTTCTAGATATTTCCTGCAAATTAGCAACAAAATAGCCATTTTCACTCCGAACTGTTCCTTCGTTTGACGTTGTTTCAGCTGTCATCAAGGATATAAAAGTTACAGATACTGTGAATGTTACTGGTGTGTAGCTCACCTAGTAAGATGTCTGACTCCCATGCAGAACACCTGGGTTCTATTCTGGGTGGGAATATAGTTCATTTAGAGTTTATTTTTTACATTAATGGTATATTTTTTTACAGCAAGATGCCCAAATTTTTATTTGAGACTCGCCGAACGGCATTGAATTCACAGATAAAAAAGATGTGGGTTCAGCTTTCATTTTGGAACAATTTTTCAAGCAAGGGAAGGGAATGATCTGAGCATGCAGGAGGACTGACCCATCATAAACCTTTGTCGGCTGTGCTGAAGAGAAAGGTACAGAACCAAATTATTTAATTAATTAGCTGCACGTTCTCCTGTCCTCTGTCCTCCGGGTAGGATGGGTGCCACAGCATCTGTCTGCATTCCTTCCTTCGTGGGGGATGATTATTTGCAGCTTCAAGGCTGTGTGGCGTCAGATAAGGATAACAAGACTGTGTTTGGGTCAGGCAGAGATAATTTTCCCTCTGCCTTCAGTCTGTAACTGGTCATTCCAGTCCTTCAGTGAAGCCAATTCGGGTTATTAAACCCTCTCCGAGATGACATCCATTTTGCGCACCAACACTGGTAACGCAGCTAAGACATTGTCCAGCTTACGATTCACCTCGAGTAACGTCCCAGTCTGTGAGGTCTCTGCCCAGACGGTGCCGTCCATGGGTGGGGGTGGCCCTCCAATCGCTCCCGTCATCCCAATTTTTCGGAAAACCAGATATCCTCCCACTCCAATCAGAAGAAATCCAGTGATCATCAGGCCAAATATCCACATATCTTCGACGTCCTCAATGGACAGCTGAGAGAGACAGATGACCTTCCACTCATTCCAGGAATCGAGCATATATCCCGCTGCGTGTGTCCCGTGAGGGCAAGTGGGAGCCCCCTCCTCCATTCTCATCGTACAAAAAATCTTATCAGTCGCGTTGAATGACCAATTAATTAAATCCATTTCTGAAAAGTGGTGATTTCCAGAGGAAATGCAGAGAAGCGCTCTGTAGGCAGACAGGACAAAAAGAGCCTTGAGGAAAAAAGATAAGGGAGCAAAGCAGAAGCGACTGTGCTCTATGAGTGCCATGAGAACAAGGTTGCACTGAGCATCATAAAAATACTGCCACACAGTTGACGTTGCTCTTGTTGCTTGCTACTTCGCCAGCATGTACTGGTCTGATCACATGGGCTTTGCATGCTGGATCTGACCAGAATAATCAGTCAGAAACAGAAAATCCAGGTCTTTGGGGAGAATTAAATCATTGAGCAGGAAGGTCTTATTGTTAACAGAGCGGGTATTTTATAGAGCCACGCTGAGTGAGGTGGAGGAATCAGAAACTACAGAAAAAGCTGGAGTTAGTGGACGTAAATTAGCAGGGTTAGATCCACGGTGTTCATAAAAACCACTTATGGAGGGAACAGGAGGAGAAACCACAGAGGAATGAGGATAAACAGACATTAAAAAACTTGGACGGAGAAACCGCACCGCAACGCGGCCTGGCGGGAATGCGGAAGTGGCGCTCAGGTCACCAAACAAAGGACAAGAAACTAGAAGATCACACCGATGTTTACTAGATAAACCACGCTTTAAGAGAAGTCTTATTCTCACCTGGATTTCTGCTCGTTTACCTCTTTTCCTCCAACGTTTTTCCGGGACCGAACAAACATCGCTGGAGGCGCCCTGGTTGGAATCGTCGTTTTGCTCCGGGCCAGTGTGCCGCTCAGGTAAACAAAGAGGGAGGTACGTCCTCGGTGCATCTTGGGCGATTGTGAACAAACGGAAGGATAAAAGATTCTGGCGATCATAGGAGATGGTAGCAGGGACACTACTGAAGAGGATTGCAGACAGGAGCAAGGTGGAAAAGAGGAGGTTAGTGGAGAAGAGTTTGAAAAAGTGGCCGGTGACCGCGGCTAAGCCAAGCACAGGCGCCATCTTGTTACCGACCGGAAACAAACTGTATCATGATTACTACACCAAAGAAAATAACGTTTT